ATTAAGGCAATGGGCTAGGCTATCATGATAATGATTTTAAGACGTGACATCATAAGCAAACGGATATGACGCTAATTCAAGCCCTAGACAAACGCTCGCATAGCGTAAACAGATGCCTCGCCACATCGTCGACCAATCAACCGATGAGAAAGCACCAAATCGATAAGAAACCAAGCCATGACACAGAAGGACTGCATCGCTACCCGACGTGCAATTCATATTTTTCCTGCGTGGCACTACGGAGAAGATCCGTCACGGCTTTGACGAAAATTGTGCAGCACCCGCTGGCAGCATTTCTCGTTCTTTTCATAGCCGTCTGCTGTTGGCAAGGTACTGTACAAACTTAAGAAGGCCAGGCTGACGTTTTTCGTAATCGCGCCATAAAGCGATCCGGGCATTCGGAAATGAAATCGGTTTTAACCACTCACGTGGCGTGCAAACGTTGAGGGTCACGCATACATAGTTGCGGCCAAGCCGGTGGGGCATAGCGACTGGAAAACCATGCAGGCTGGCGCAAACCATACATCTGGTGTACTTAGATGTGTGTCTTGGGGGCGATTGTACTATAATATCCACACCCGTGATGCAGAGTCGGCATTCACGACATTTGCTCTTTTGACGTTGTACGATGATTTTTTAAACGACAAGTATTCCTTTTGCAACCCATCGTTGCTTTAACCTCCCCCCCCCCCCCCCCCCCCCCACCATCTCCACGCCTGATAGTCGAGCACAATCGCTAACCGTCTCATTTATCCCACATCCCGCTGCCGTCGTCATTTGAAGACACCTTCCTTCCACGCCCGGCAATATTTTGTCGGTTACTTAAGTTGTTCAGCATAGATAATGTCATAGCAGAACGCAATTCAATTGGGCGTTAAGTATCCCTTTTTACTTGTCTCAGGTAGAGCACAATGGTGCTCGCGTCTCCAAAAACGTTAGCTTTCCAATTTGATAAGATTCCATATGTGAAGTGTATCCAGAACTCATGTTTCCTATGCATTATTCACATGTTCACGCTTATTAGATCTTAACTGGTGAGAAGTCACTTTCATGAACGCTCTCATGACGACACTGGGCGTCGTCAGCTTGCGGATGACAGCTCCGCTCGTGCGAGGCGTTCAGGGCTGCTCCTGTGGTTGCCATCGATCACGATCATCACCTGTCAAAGCTTTTTCATTTTCTGCCTCTCGTGGCCAATCTGCCGTCATATGCTCACGGCATCGTTGATTGCCTTATTTTGTTCACGAATGGGTAGCTAGGGGACGCGTGTCGCTTCCATGACACTTGTACTTTCATGATCCTGAAGCTGCGATGGCACCACGTTGGCGTCTGAACAGAGTGTAGGCCTATTAAATCTACGGAAGGTTCAATGGGTCCAGATGCGCTCATTGCGTACTGGTCTGGCAGCTCGTGACTCCCCTTTCCTGGCAGGCTGGTGTTTGAGCTCCCAGCCACGGGTGGGATGATCCCG